GACACTGAGGCTGCCAAGGAGAGTGGCCTGCCCATGCTGAATTACCCTGTTCCTGCAGGTTGTTGCATGAATGTTGTCACCCTAGTTTGGAAGCCAAGAGATTCAGCAGAGATCCAATTGCAGTGAAAGCAGCAAGCACAGGAAACTAAAAAGAGGCCTGAGAGCATGGACCCCTTAACCTTTTCACTTTTCTGGACTGATTTCCTCTCCTGCTGCCCTTAACTGTTCCTTTAGGGAGGCAAAGGATGTCCTTTGGGGAAGCAATGTAGCACAGGGCTGTGTGGGAGGCTATAGTGCCTAAATACAATAAAACCTCTCTGTTAAATACAATAAAACCACCCATATCACCAGCAATTCCACAGTATGTATCACATATCCAGAGTGTTCTTAGCTATAGGCCTTTTTATCCAGGTGTAAACTCACCTTCTCTACTTGAAAGCCACACAGGCTGCACAATTGCAACACCAAGGACATCCCCCAGCATGTCCCACTTCATCAAAGGGCTATCAACCCCCAATGATTCATTCCAAATATACGATACTTTTCTGCTTTGCTCCTGCTTCTTCCTAACACTGGCTAAATTTTGTAGCAGAGATTTTTCAACCAGTGTGCCACAAGAACTTTTAAAACATGCAACACCTGACTGTTTAGTCAAGACCACTGACCTCTTTTCCCTTAGGTTGTCAAATTAAAAAATGAATCAAAATTATACCTATTTTTGTCAGATTGGCAAAAAAATATCTATTTCCTGATGTGCCACAGAATTTTAGTAATTAGTTTACGTGTGCCATGAGACAAAAAAAGTTGAAAATCAGTGTTCTACAGAGTTTACTTCCAAAGCATCTCTTGGATCTACGTTTCTACATCTCCTCTGCCATCTCTTCCAACCTGCCCCAGCCACCATCAGCACCCAGGGTCCTGTGAACTCATGTACTAGGATCCTTTCATCCTGGAGCTACACTTGTCCCACCACACTTGTCTGTGGCAGAGCAGCCTCTCTCTTCGACACAAGACCCTTCTCCCTTCAGCCCTATAGCATCACAGCACTGAGAAGTCTCCTTCATGTTTAGGACTGAGTTAAAATGTCACTGCTTGAGGCAAGTCTTCCCAGACCAGCTCCCAATACCAGATCAGGTCCCCACACCCTATATTTGTCCTTCAGGGCACTTGTTACAATTGTAATTAAAGAATCACTTATGAGATTATTAACATAATATACTTGTCTCCAATTATATAGTAACTTCATTAAAACACAGATTATTTGTTTTATTTCATTACTGTAATTGTAGACACTTGCACGATATCTAGCACAGAATAGAGACTCAGAAACTATGAGTGATTGTTTGAATGGAGGCATGTGACTTCTTACTTTCATTTCAGGTGGATATTATATCCCTGTTTTATAGATGATCCAACCGATTTTTGAAGTTACATGATTTACCCAAGAACATAAACAAAATAAATCTCAGGTTTTGAAGTCAGGACTCCAAAACTAACTTGATAATATTTTCCTGAAAAATATATCCTTAAGGCACAAAAATTACTTGTCATGACCTAGCTGTCTCCTATGCATCTGTATCTGCAGCCATTCTGTTTTTTACCCTGTGCTTTGCTATTTCTCTCAGTTTTATTAAATTCACAAGCACTTCTTCATCCCTAAGTTTAAGGGACAGAGCATCGAGGGCTATATAAGTGAGAAAGAGCCTTTATTTAGAATCCCACAGTTATTAAGGGAAATCACTACCTTAGTTCTACCACCTTGAACTTCTTGAGACTGTTTCAGCTGTAAATTACATAAACGCAACTAAAATTGGTTTTAGCAAGAAAAGAAATATATTGGCTCACATAAACTGTAAATTCTGTCAGCAGCCAAGCTTTAAGCATGGTTGTATCCAGGGGCTTGGTGTCCTGGTGATGCAGTCACTGTCTGTCTCCATCCCTTGGGTCTTCTTTACCCTGTTAATTTTATTCTTGGCCAGCCTCCCTTCACACCGTGCAAAGATGGCTTCAGGCAGCTCCAGGCTCATATGCTTCTTAGTGCTATCTCAGTAAGAGAGAACCTCTTTCCCAGGAGCTGGGGATGATGTTCATCAGCCCAGCTTTGGTCATGTGCCTCATCCTAAAAGATGGAATATTTGGGGGGCAACAAGCTCATGGAACTGGAATAGGGTCAGCACCACCCAAACCACATGCTTCCTAAGGAAAAAGTAAAACAAAAAACAAAAAACATGATTCTTGAAGTTCTCTACAGTGAAACTGGCTTCATAGCCTCATGTCCTCACCCACACCTTTCTGTTTCCTTCTTGCTCCAGGTTGTCCTGTCTTACAGATTTTGAAATTGCTGATTCCTGTGCTAGAACACCTCCTCCTTCAGATCCTGGCATGGTTGGCTCTTTCTACACTTCAAATCTCTGCTCTCACAGTACCCAGTCAGAGAGGCTTTCTGTACCCTAGTCTGAAGTGCCCACTTCGACTTCCATCCTTTCACATGTCACCATCTGCAGCAAGGTAGGTGCTTATTAATTCTGCTTTGAGTCTTGCTCTCACCAGAATGTGAGCTCTGTGTAAGCAGGGATTTCCACCTGTCTTGTTCATCGTTGAATCCAAGTGCCAAACACACATTTAGTGTTCAATAAATATTGATTGAATAAATGAAAGGAATCTATGGTGACATCTGGTAAGAGATCAAGAAGAGCTTCATGGAGAAGGTGGCTATTAAATAGAGTGTCATTTAGAAAATTGTAAATAGCATAAAATTTACCATTTTGGAAGAATTTTTATGAGTTTTATTTGAGCCAAAACTGACAATTGCCAGGAAGCATGATCTCAAATGTTTCCCTCATTTTGACCATTTTTAAGGTACAGTTTATTAGCACTAAGTACATTACAGTGTTGTGCAGTCATCACCACCATCCATTTTCAGAAAGTGTTCATCTTCCCACACTGAAACTCTATATCCATTCAATGCTAACTCCCCATTCCTCCCTCATCTCAGCTCCTGGTGACCACTGTTTTACTCTCTGTCTCTACCAATTTGATGACTCTAGGTACCTCATAGAAATGACATCATACAATTTTTGTCCTTTATGGCTAGCTCATTTCACTTTTTTAAAAAATTATATTTTATTGATTGTGCTATTACAGTTGTCTTGATTTTTCCTCACTTTGGCTCCCTCCACCCAACACCCTATTTCACTTATTGTAATGTTTTTCATGGTTTATCTATGTTGTAGCATGTGTCAGTACTTCATTATTTTTTAAGGTGAAATAATATTTCATTGTCTTTATGTACCACATTTTGTTTATCCATTCATCTGTTGAACATTTTGGATGCTGCCACTTTTGGCTATTGTGAGTAGTGCTGATATGAACATGGGTGTACAAATACCTCTTCAAGCCCTTGCGTTCCATTCTTTTGGGTACATACCCAGAAGTGAAATAACTGGATCATATAGTAACTCTAAATTTAACTTTTGGAGGAACTGCTAAACTGTTTTCCACAACTGTTGCACCATTCACATTCCCACATGCAATGTTGGTTCCAATTTCAAGGGTTCCAATTACTCCACTTTCTCACCAACACTCCTAATGAATGTGAAAGAGGGTGGAATTTTGACATATGGGAAAGGGGGATGAGGTAGCCTTTTAGGCCACAAAGGCCTGGAGAGGTTATGGTATGCAGTGGATCTAGTCAAAAAGAAGTCTAGATAAAAAGAATTGTGACAGTCTGATATCATAATTCACATGGGGTTCAGTTTGCCTCCCTCTCCAGGCAATAGACTGATTCTGTAGCATGTTGGAAAGCCACTGCCTCCTGGGTACTTTCTGATGCTGCCAGGGTCCATGTTGGCTCAGAGTTCACGCTGGGACACCAGTGGCTCTCTCTGAGAAAGGGTGAGCCAGGGAAAGGGGAACTGCCATGCAGGATGTTGACCAGTTACCTAATCACAATGACCAGGGGCTGTGACCAAAACAGCCTGCATCATATAGGTCAGGGTTCATCTCAAAGACAGGTGTGGCTGTGGGACATGCAGCCCTCTCCAAGCAGCAGGGGCACCTGGAGTTGGACAGGCAAGAACGTCATTTTTCTCTTGGCAGAAGGACGGGTAGGTGCTGCATCTGGTCCCCAGCCCCAAGAGAGGAGCTGTCTATATACAAAAAGAAGGGACACAGGGACCTGTTGAGGTCTGGCAGCCACGACCTGCTAAAGAAAGGGAGTAAGGCTCAGGGTGGGATTCCATGGGAATGAAATGATGAATGACCAGTCAAGAACCTAGAGGTCCATGAACTCAGGAGTGAGCTCAGGCAGCTCCCCATTGCCCCACTAGTAAGGTCTCCCTGCAGGACTTCAGGGCTAGGGACAAGGGGCAGGGTTGGACCTACACATGCTATTGTTCAGTTGGGAATACAGAGCTTCACAATTATCTTCCACTGGATATCCCCAATCTCTATTAGAAAACATGGTTCGAGCTTTTAAATCAGGGTGCCTCTAAGTCCTAGGCTTGCTTCCTCTAGGTAGTTCAGAGCCATGGTTCAGTGGCATCGGTCTGCTGGAGTCAGCTTATCCTGTCTCTGAGATCCCATTATGAGCACATCTTCAAAACCTTCATCAGTAACATTGTGTTGATAGCTCAAAATGGGCCATGGTGGAAGCATTTACACCACAGAAACTGGCAAATGTTGTAAATCAGGACTTATTTGCTCCCCAGAGGTAACTATTAAACATTACCAGCACTTCACTTGCCCTGTTTGAAAGGCAAACCTGTTTTTGACTGCTCTAATTCCTTCTGGGTCCTGCTGCAACCCTTTTGTCCCATGACCCCTGTCCATCAGCCCTGCCATCTTCACCAACCCCCAGATGACTAAATGATGTACAGGGTAGAGGGAGGAGGCCTGGGAAGCTGTGCTTGCTTGCCACCAATTTGTGGACAGTGGCTACTTTCCCTGCCTGTGGCAAAGAAACAGGGCTAACCAACTTGTCTGTGCCTAGGTTGTCTGCTATGGCGGGTGTGCTGTACCCCAGACAGGTGAGTGTTGTGGATTTATGTCTCCTGTGACCATCTCAGGGTTGGGCAGCAAACAGGCCCAAGGAAGGACCATGTTCTTACGTTCTCTGGGGCTCCCTCTGGTCATTACTCTGGATTTTTTGTTTTAAACAGACAGAGGAATGCTAAGGGTTTACAATTTTCTGGAGACTTCTTTATTTATTCAGTATGTATTTATTAGGCACACTTGGTGTTGAGCACTGAGCTGGGCTTTAAGGCTGCAGGAATGCCTAAGATTAGGTCCTAATCTAGTGTACTCATTAAATCAATTATAATATACCATGATAAGTGCTGTAGTGAAGGATGCAAAATGTGCTATGAAAGCAGAGGAAAGAGTTTAATCCTTGGGTAGGAGATATGTTTTGGGGGAGAGAGTTAATCTGGGTCTTGGAGGACAGGTAGGAGTTTGCTAGTTGGTGAGGTATGCCACTAGTATTTCCAGCAGGAGATAAGAGAGAGTGTGCCAGGCACATGTGAAGAGAGGGAAGAAGTGAGACTAGAGGACAGAGGCCTTGGAGGGGAACAGGGATAGATGTGGGAAAGGCCAGGAGAGACCCGATCACAAAGGGCTGCAAATTCCAGGCCACTGAATGCCTGTATGTGGAAGAACAAGATAGATCTCTTGCTTTGTCTTCATCCTTGCCCTTTAGGCCCCTGTGGATTTAGACATGTACCAAAGCTCCTACATGGTCAACTATAAACCGTACAGGAAGCACAAGTACTCCAGAGTCACATCACGAGAGGTAAAAAGTCACTCAGTATTGTCTTCCATTCAACTGCCCACTGAAATCACTGTTATTTCATTTGTATTACATGTACATGTTGGAGGCACTTATTTAGAATATCTGATGCCAGGAGATTGAAGAGGTCTTGTGTGTGTGTGTGTGTGTGTGTGTGTGTGTGTGTGTGTGTGTGTGTGTTTGTGTGTGTGTGTGTGTGTGTGTTTCAAAATGCACATAAACTATAAGTCATGCATACAGAAGAGTGTAAATAATATACACTGATGGTTTAAATAGCACTGTTAAACCAAATACCAGTGCACCCATTCTCATGTAGCTCACACAGTGCAGTTAACAGGACCTCAGAGCCCATGGGTGACCCTTCCTGCGTATATGCTCCCCACCTCCAGAAGAGCTGCTATTCTGAGTTGAGGGCTAATCATTCTCTTGTGTGTATATATGTTTTAAAGAAGAAATACTTTTATCCTGTATATATGTATACTTCTAAACAAATTGTTTAGTTTTATCTTCTATTAAATTTATTATATATTGGATCATATTTTTTGGTACCCTACTGTGACTTTTATTTTTTGCTGAACATTATGACATATTCTTCATTTTCTGCTGTATAGAATTGCATTGACTGTATAAGCCACCATATATTTGTCCCTTCTCCTGCTGGCAGACATCTGATTATTTACTTTATTGTTACCCTGATGCCCCCAAATACTGCAATGAAGATGAGGTACAGCCTCACTTGCAAGAGTTCACCCATCTGGGGCATGGATTGGTTGCCACAGGAGACATTGCTGTTTTCCAAAACGTTGCATCAATGTACCTTCTCCCCAGCAGAGGCCATCACTCCTGTAACTCTCTAATCTTGTCATTACTTGGTATTACCAGACATCTAAAATTTTTGTCAATTTGGTGCATTTGAAAGAACAGTTTTCTGTGGTCATACTTTTCATTTCATTTATCATTAATGAGGTTCAACATCTTTTCATTGTTTATGAATATTCATTATTCTGTGAAATGTCTGTTCATGTTTTTTGACCATTTTCTACTGAATTATGAATCTTTTTCTTATTAATTTGTAGGAGTCCTTTAAATTCTGGATATCTTTCACTTGTCAGTTATTTATGTGGCAGAACTCTTCTCCAGTTGGTCGTTTACTTTTTCACTGTCTTCCAGGGAAAAGAAATTCTTATTTTAATGCAGCCAGATGTGTCAGTCATTTCCTTTATCATTTTCTCTTTTAAAGTCTTGTTTAAGAAATCCGTTTCTATCTTGAGGTAGCGCCACTAAAAATAATAATAAGATCTATACAAACAAAGGTGGAACAATTTCTGAGATAAATTATTTAGAGGAAGCAAAGTGCAGAATTCAATTGCAATATGCATTGTTTATGTACAAACCACAGGTATGGATATATACACCTATGTTTATACGTCAAGAAAATATCTCTAGAAAGGTACAGAAAACACTGCTGATAGTGGTTACTTATGGAGACAGGAACCAAGGGAGGAGGATGGGAAAGAGATTTTTCAGTACTTTTTTGAATAGTTTATTTTTTTATTGTATTTTTTCCATTACCATTTATCTCCTATATACCCTTTTCGACATCTAACCTCCCTGTCCCCTGCAATCACTACGATGTTGTCCATGTGCATGTGTTCTTTTTTTTTTCTTGTTCCCTCTACCCTTTCCAACACCCCCCTAGAGACACTTTTCACTCTTAACCCTTTTGTATTATTTCAGTATTTCCCTCTGTTGTATTCAATATGAATTACCATTCAAAAACTAATAACACTTTTTAAGTAATAAAAGTGTGCTCTGCCTTGGATATTTCCAAGGAAGCTACATTGTTTGTCATCTCTCTCAGCCTCCCATTCATGTGTGATTTGTTCCCACAGCAAGTGAAGGTGGAGACCCAACTTTGGGAAAAAGAATTTTATAAGTTCGCCCCCAGCCCCACACCCAAACTAGAGGATGGGTACCCTGCCTTCAAAAGACCCTACATGAATGCCAAAGACCTGGGACACCCCAGCTTCTTCCCATCAGTGGATACAGTGAAGGACGAATGCAGGTTCCCCAGCATCTGCCCTTCCATGCATCCAGTTTCCCATGCTCTATACCTGGCCCAAGGCAATCCAGACTGGGTCCACCGAAGTGCTGACTTTCTGTGCCTCCTGGAGCCAGAGCACCAACCTGCTGCAGAGGAAGGCAAAGGATACCTTCTACTTCCCGGCTGCTTCTGTCCTCATAGCCGCACAGCCAGGGTCCCTATCCTGAACCGATGGGGCCCCCTCCTGCCATTTTACCAGTAGGAAGGGTAAGAACACCTTCCAAGGTCACTGTGGAAATCCCTCACTCTCACAAGGAAATCTCTGCCCTGGTTTTGGATTATAGAGAGGAAGACTGAAAATAAAACCTTAAAAAGATGTTCCAGTTGCACTGGGAGTGTGCTTGTGCTACTTACTCCCTGGTCTGCCCTAAGACACAGCATCCCCACCACAGGAAGAGAAAGGGAGGGAGAAAAAGAAGGAAAACTGGATGTATGGAGGGATGGAATTTGTGTGATGTTTCATTATAAGTAAGAATCCTGCTGTAAAGATTCTTACTGTTTTAGGCGCTTACAAATTAGGAAAAATTATGTTTCCCATAGTCATCTGAATATTCGGTGTGACAGTAAAACTTGAAATGTTATTGGATAACTTTCCCCCTTACAACTCTGGTGCAATCAGGAGTAACCATTTAGAAGCCATCAATAGAGATTTTGTAAACATATACATGTATGAACCAGTTAGAAAATAAGCTAAACTGCTGTAACAAAGGGAAACAGTACAGCAACTTGAACAACATGAGGTTGGCAGTCAAAGAAGATATGGCATCTTTTCTGTGGCTTCCATCTCTGGGCCTAAGGTGGCTGCTCTGACTAAATTGTGTGCTCCCCTCAAATCCATATGTTGAAACTCTAACCTCCAATGTGACTTATTTGGAGATAGGGACCTTAGGAATTAATTAAGGTTAAATGAGGTCATAAGTGTGGGGCCCTAAACCAATAGGATTGGTGCTCTTCTGAAAAGAAATTTATTTTAAAATGCTCTAGCAAAATTAAATGTTTGGTAGAATAGGAGAATAAGTGAAACAATACCAGTGACAAAATAAAAATTGTAGCTGGGTGATGGCTACATGGAAGTTCATTACCCACTCTCTCCACTTTTATATGTTTGAAAATTTTCATCATAAGACATTTAAAAAGGAAGGGAGGGAGGGAAAATAGGAAGAAAGGAAAGGAGGGAAAAAAGAGATATGCTCCTTTAGGTTAACCATTAGCTATTTCTAAGGGTGTCTAATTTCTAATATTCTTCTCATCCTTGCTATACTCATTAAGAAAAATAAAGAATAAAGGAAGGAAAGAAGGAAGGAAGGAAGAAAGGAAGGAAGGAAGGAAGGAAGGAAGGAAGGAAGGAAGGAAGGAAGGAAGGAAGGAAGGAAGGAAGGAAGGGGAGGGAAAGGAAGGGGAGGGGAGGGAAGGGAAGAGAAGGGAAGGGAAGGGAAGGAAGAAAGAAAAAAGAAGAGGGTGGGGGAGGAAGAGATAGAGAGATAGAAAGGGAGAGAGAAAGAAAGAAAAGTGATAGTTTGATCCCTGGTGAGGTTGATTAATTTTGCAAGTGATATTTATCTTTTCATCAGCTGTAAAATGTTTCCTAATCACTGTGTTCCCTTCTCCCTTACCTGTACAATCTTTAGTGAATCTGTTTATCCCTAACTCCTTTTGGAGTGTCTACAAAAGAAAGTGTCTATGAACAAAAGTTCACTACTTCTCAATGCATATCAAAAAGTAACATTTTTTTTCACTGTTGGGTCATGTAGATCAGTTGACAGTTTTAATACATAGGTATTTCCAAAAATGTTGTAGTTGAGCTGAAATCATTTATAATAACAAGAGCTGCTCTTTGTTGATCATTTATTACATACCAGGCTCTCGGTGCACACATCAGAAACATCATTTTATCCTCACACATAGCTGCAGGAACAGAGGTTCAGGGAGCCCAAGACCACACATGGCAGAGCCATAGTTTGAATCCCAATTTATCTGATTCCAACTCCAAAGTCTCAGTCATTTTTAGAACGTTATATGTCATTTTTATTCCAAATAAATGATTGGAAGTCCTTCAGTACAATAACTGCATTCCTCCTAATGTCCATGTTTCATTGAGTAAACATCCATTGGTGTGAACAACGAGCTGGACCAAGAAGAAGGCCTGGATTCAGAGCCCTCCTCCTGAAGTTCTCAACCTGAGGTGTTCTGGAGGCCATGGTCTTCATCACAGACTTACAGGGGGTATGACTGGCTGTGCTGATGATACAAAACAGATCACCAAGATGTACCTGGACACCAGCACAGGAGTGGCTAGAGACAGAAGGCTAGCTGTAACCTGGGTCCCTTGGAGCAGGAAAAGATAGTGGCAGGGAAGCCCAAAGAGAAATCACTCAAGAGAGGAGCATGAGCTAAAATCCCAATACACTGCATTTCAGGCACTTGCTGAAGCCTGGAGTCTGGGAAACTGGGCAGTGTCTGGACAAGAGCCAGTGAAGTCCGGATTCTGCCTCAGAAATCTCCATCTAGACCCCAGTGCAGCAAGCTTCCTCTGTTGGCATCTAGGAGCACCCTGCAGTTCCTCCCCATGTTACCCTCAAGGGAACCAAGACACATCTGATTATTTCTCACCACCTTACATCACCATCCATCCGGGGCCCTTCAGGTGCAGCACAATCCTTTCAACCGTACCACCCTGCCTTCCCTACATGCACACTCAACAGTTTCCACCTCTGTGCCTTTGAACTTGCTATTTCTTTCTTTCTGCTAGGAAGCCCTTGTTCTGCTCCCTCCAGCTGAATCATTCCTTCTTCTAACAATCCCCTGTCCCGAACAGTTTGCAGTTCCAGGTGTTCCCAAAGATCTTCATTGCCACGTCTCTTACCAGGGTGCTATGAGGATTGCATGAATGAACCCCAGGGACCTGGCAAACAGTGAGGGCTCAATAATTGTTAAATCTTTAAAGTTTTTATTATCTTTAGAATTACTACTATTTTATTTACCTCAGTGAGTGTTTCGTGTATCTTTGCTGCTCTTGAAACCTGGTATATAGTAGGTGCTCAAAAACTATTGAAGAAATGAATGGGGGTGTGAGAGAGAAAGGGCTTTTCAAAGGAAGGCACAGGAATGGGGTGGCCCAGCCCTGCTGCAGGCATTCTCTGTAGCAGCTCTGCAGGCCCCCTCCCTCCGGCAGCTTCAGCCTCCTGCCAAGATTGTGCACCCACCTTCAGCCAGGGAATGTCAGGTGAATGTACCTGGGCAGATATCCCCAAGTATGGCCCACAACTTTGCCCACTGAATTCTACTCTCTACCAATTTAAGTCATCTGTGGGAATAGGCAGGGATGATGGTGGGAATTCCAAAATGGGTTTGTCACACCCCCCAACCCTGTCCTACCCCAAATGCCTTCCTAGTCCCAACTCTGGCTGGACCTAACATCTGTGTTTAATCGATAGAGTCAGGAGGTGCCTGCTTTGGTTGACAGACATTTTAATATTCTCAGAAGACAGCTCCTGGCTACTTGCCCAGTTTATTCCTGAGACAGAATGTAGCCAGATGCCAACAGAGCATGGACCTAGAGCAGCTGTGGAGGTGAACCCAAGGTGTCACCAGTATGTGCCAGCCCATGTCAGGCACAGCACAACCATCGAGTTAATATAGTTCACACTCCCATTGTATAACTAAGGAAACTGAGGGCTCAGGTGATTGGACCAAATATCACAGGATTTGAAGCTTGTTTTTTACTTTTCCCATGAAATCTCGCTTCCATGAAAACCTTCATTTTTCTCATCTATAAATTACACCTACATCATAAGGTATAAATAAGAATATATGTAAATGTACTTAAATATTTTTAAGGTTAATAAAGAGTTTCTTTCATAAAAGAGAATAAGCTGACACCCATGTGGCTGCACTTGCTTGTGGATTTCCCAGAACTGTCCCCCGTGCACTTAAGGGGTGCTTTTGTCATTTCTTAGCGAAAGTGGGAGTAGGTGGAGTGGGCAGGTTGGAGGTGGGCTGATAATGAAGTTGCAGAAACTGGACTGAGAGGTTCGAAGATAATGCTGGCAGTCCTTACATGTGTATATTTTTCAGAGCTTACAAAACAAAGCCAGAGACAGTATCTCCCTTAATTCTTATTTCATCTTTGTGACAGGAATTCATACCCCCATTTCACAGAGGGGATAAGTAACTAAGGCTAAGTGGGGATGCAGACCCCAGGCCTGCACTTCTGGATCAAGCTGCTGCCCACTGTGGAGAGCTGTCTGTGGAAATGTGTCTAGCAGGAGATCACATGAATGCACAGTGTAAAATGCTGACTTAGCTCCATCAGGTCTACATGGAGAGTGACTTGGTCTGGAACAAACCAAGAATCTGCATTTTTATCCAGTTCACCTGGAGGTTTATGCTCTGGATCACACTTTGCAAAACAACAAAAGTGCATAAATATTCATAGAAGTCTCAAGCAGACAGCAGCAAATCTCTGCTGGAGAAAAACTCATAGCTGGGTGTGGTGGAGGTGGAGGGTGGGCTTTGGGGAGATCAGAGTGTGCTTATGTTGATATATCTCAAGAATGTTTTGGCCAGGCAACATGCCAGGATGTGTACATTAATTTCAAAACTTTAAAAAATATACCTCTTTAAAAATTATATTTTATTGATTATCTTACTACAGTTTTCCCAATTTTTCCCCCTTTGCCTCTCTCCACTCAACACCCCCCACTCCCTCAGGTGATCCCCACACCTTTGTTCGTGTCCATGGGTCACGCATATAAGTTCTTCGGCTACTCAATTTCCTATACTATATTTTACATCCCCATGACTATTCTGAACTACCAATTTGTGCTTCTTAATCCCTTTACCTTTTCACCTACTCCCCCAAAACCCTCTCCCTTCAAACCATTCTGGCTACCTTCAAGCCATTCTCCATATCTATGTATCTATGATTCTGTTTCTGTTCTGCTTGTTTGTTTAGTTTGTTTTTTAGCTTCAGTTTTTGATAGATATGTATGTATTGCCATTTTATTGTTCATAAATTTGATCTCCTTTTTCTTAAATTAGTCTCTTTAACATTTCATATAATAATGGTTTGGTGATGACAAACTCCTTTTGCTTTTTCTTGTCTAGGAAACTCTTTATCTGCCCTTTGATTCTAGATGATAGCTTTTCTAGATACAGTCATCTTGGTTGTAGGTCCTTGCTTTTTATGACTTTGAATATTTC